CCCCCTAAAGGAAGGTCTCTACTCTGTCAGGAAGATCCAGAGGAGACAAAGCAGCTCCCCCTAAAGGAAGTTCTCTACTCTGTCAGGAAGTTCCAGAGGAGACCTAGCAGCACCCCCTAAAGGAAGGTCTCTACTCTGTCAGGAAGATCCAAAGGAGAAGCAGCAGTGTCCCCTAAACCAAGGTCTCTACTCTGTCAGGAAGTCCAGAGGAGACAAAGCAGCGCCCCCTAAAGGAAGGTCTCTACTCTAAAGGAAAGAAACAGATGATAGAAATAAGACAAAAAGGATAGCAAATAAATACCATGAGGCAGAAAAATCAGAAAAAGTTGACAATGTCTGGCGGGGGGGTGGGGGTGGGGGTGAGGGTGAAAAATTTCTCCTCAACATACAATCACTATTATGTTTTCTTTGTTAGACACTTTAATGCACAGAGAACATTTAAAAATGAGTTATAGTCAGAATCATGTCAGGCTAAATATAGGCAAGATGTATTAGAATTCTTTATGCAGCACTTCACATAAAGTAGTGCAGAATACTATCAAGATAACCTGACTGATAATTTCTTTCAGTACTAAGGATACAAGGTAAGCAAACAAAAGTACTTCATGCCATTCATTGGATAAAAAACTTAAATTACAAAAAATTGTCTTTAATACAGAGTGAGGTGAAGAAAAGTATGGGTTTGAAAATAGCTGCAATAGTGGTACAAATATTTCTGTGACAGAAATTTTTAGCTCTTAATTTCTTTGTTGTTTTTAACAATACTTTACTTTCTTTTTTTTTTTTTTTTTTTTTTTTTTTTTGAGACAGGAGATTCAAGCTGTCCCCCTGGATAGAGTGCCGTGGCATTTCAGCCCACAGCAACCTCCAACTCCTGGGCTCAAGCGAGTCTCCTGCTTCCGCCTCCCAAGTAGCTGGAACCACAGGCGCCCACCACAACGCCCGGCTATTTTTTGGTTGCAGCCATCATTGTTGTTTGGCGGGCCTGGGCTGGGGATTCGAACCCACCACCTTGGGTGTACGTGGCTGGCACCTTAGCCACTTGAGCCACAGGTGCCGAGCCAATACTTTACTTTCTAAGCTCTAAGAGTTTACACCTCTGCACACTTGCATTTGAGGAAGGGCACCATCACTTCTGTACTTGAACAAAATGTTTTTTGAAATAAATTAGTTTTATTTTTAGATATATGTAGATTTATATGTTGGACAATTTTGTAAGTAATCAACAGAGGAAACAGTTTTCTAAGCATGTTTTACCCAGGAAAAAAATAATTGTTTGTTTTTTTACATAATATTTATTTTTGAAGCTATCTTCTAGTGTGGTTGGTATGATATTTAATTTTATTTCTCTGACATATTCCTAAGTGATGAAGACTTTTTGAGTAGAAATGGAAACTTTCATCCTCACAGTTAGAGAGTTACAAGGGCCCAAATTTAGCACATGAAAATGCTCATGACAACTGATGAGAGAAGAGGCATCATTTTAAAAAGCATATTGGAATAACTGAGTAGAAATTTGGAAAATATTAATTTAGAAAGAGCTCATAGAAGATACAAAATGAAGTATGAAGTATGAAGTGATATGAAACAGTACAGTACGATACAATGTATTACCTGAAATAATGTGTTATTTCAACTAAACAGAAAAGAATATTATTAAAGCAAAAGTAACTTTTTAAGTAAACCAATCTACCTAAATACATATTGGTTTCATATTAGTATTGAGAACATTGGATTCTTGCTTTTCTGTTTTTGTGATAGTAAAAGAATGTGCTCCATATAGGTAAATACAAAAGCTATAAAGTCTCTCCCTTTTTATGGCAGAATAGTATTCCATGGCATATATATGTGGTACAGTTTACTAATCCATTCATGTGTTGATGGGCACTTGGGTTGATTCCCAAGTCTTGGTGATTGTGAATTGAGCTACAATAAAAATTCTAGTGTGAATGTCCTTATGATAAAATAATTTTTTTTCTTCTTCATAGATACCTAGGAGTAGGATCACAGTATCAAATGGAAGGTTTACTTTTAGTTATTTGAAGGTTCTTCAAACTTCTTTCCATAGGGGTTATATTAGTTTGAAGTCCCACCAGCAGTGTAAAAGTGTTCCCTCTCTCCACATCCACAACAGCATTTGCAGCTTTGGGATTATGTGATGTGGCCTATTCTCACAAAGATAAGGTTTTTAATAAAAAGTGCATTTTAATCTACTGATTTCTATAAAGGGGAAATATTTCCAAATTGAAGCAGACATCAGAGTAAACTTATTTCTATTTTCCATCACATAATTTCAAACTTTTAAAAGTTCTATTC